TCAGGTGAAATTGGAAGGGTGGGGTTAGACTGCAAACCCAAATTCGTTTGCTGCTGTCGCTGACCCCTGTGTTGTGTGGACAGGTGCATTTTCATCACGCCAGCTCGGAGCTTTCCTCTCCTTTTCTCTTTGATCGTTGCCCTCAAATGTCGTAATTCTGTTTTATAGTACTCCCCATTGATGCTTTAACCCCTTCGCATGTAGTCAATCATGATTACTTCCTTACTGTCCCAGAAAACAGAGGCAAAAACCCTGTCAACGGACGAAACTCGCTAAAACTTCTTTGGGGGGCGGGAAAAATTATTCATCCATTGTTTGCTCTGTTGTTTTGATTCGGGGTGAAAGTGGTGAACCCAGCTCATCTTGAGTGACAAATGGTTTGAGGAAACTGCATGAATTGGACTGAATTCGTTCCTTGAAATGTCAAGCCTGTTTAAGTTCTGATGTTCAAAAAACATTCGAGGCACCCACCATGCAGACAGTTTGTTCATCCCCAGGATTTTCGACAAAATATTGTGAACTGAGTCATAACACAGGCCAAAGAACCTGCTACATGTTGGACAGTCTCACATCTGTCATTCACTACCATGTGATGGATGGCCTCAACTGGATTGTCCGCGGTGCTGATTTGTGGCATCCTGACCTATGTTCATCTTTTGTGCTCTCCTTGCCGCGATTGTAGCTAGTAACCCCGTTCTTTATATTTAAATAAGAAGGGGAGTCATCACCAAGTGTCTTGACCATGTCTTCATGGATGTCCTTAGGAGACTTTCTTTTTTATCGATACACTTGATCACAGCACACGCTTCTTTTGCGGCCATTTTGTGATTTGCCCTCACCCACCCCATTTTCACGGGGCGTCACGTGCTCATTAATGAATACAAAAATTTGAATTTTTGTGTGCAGTGATGTAAGACGTCATAGTATACAGCTATACCAAAGAATAGGAGTTTGACCTTTATTTTCTAGGTGAGGCCGAGAACTTTTTGAACACCCCTCGTATACTATAGACTAAAGTAAAGAGGCTTTTTAAGGCTATAGGGCTAGTGAGTTGCTGATTCACTAATCCAGTGCAAGACATTGAGGGCGGAGCCCATCCCTCTCCTTCCACTGCCGTTTACCTTCCTAGTATATTTTACACCTATAGTGGAATAAGAAAAGTCCTGTCAAGTGCCTTTTCCAAAGACACAGTGTCTTGCAAGGTATTGAACGTGAACGCTAGTCCACTCGGCTACTATATCTAGACGTCATATGGTATAGTAGTACTTTCAGTTAAACTTTAAACTAACTTGTAACTTTGTGTAACTACTTGAGTATGTTGCACAAGTCCGATGAATACGTGGTGTATCAACTGAATCTTAACGGGGTCAGTAAGTCCCAAGTCGTGGGACTGCGCACGTCCCTACTGACTACAGAGTGTGTTGACTCACCCAAATTGGTATCAGGCAGCGTCCAATAATGTTAAAGTGATTCGATCACAGCCCTATGGGATTAAGCCCTGATCTCCACTTTAAATGATTCGAGGCCGGACTTTAAATTGCAGGCTCAGGCTCAAATTCCACCTATAAGGTGGTGCTTTTATCACCTCATCTAAATGTTTGGAAGACAAGGTGACTAAAGCTACGTAGGCGATGTAAAGTTAAGATCCTCCTCTTAATTTACAAAGGAAATTGGTGGGGGTGGTCATTGGAAAACCCGAGAGCAGTCAGGGATGGCCAACAGGGGTTTAAGCGGTAGTGAGTGGGTGAGTGAGTGAAAGAGTGAGTGTGTGAAAGAGTGAGTGGGTGAGTGAGTGAAAGAGTGGGTGAGTGAGTGAAAGAGTGAGTGGGTGAGTGAATGAGTGAGTGAGTGAGTGAGTGAGTGAGTGCTTGCGTGCGTGCGTGCGTGAGTGAGTGAGTGCGTGCGTGAGTGGGTGAGTGAGTGAGTGAGTGAGTGAGTGAGTGAGTGATAAGTGAGTGAGTGAAGGAGGGAGTAAGTAAATGTAGTAAGTGACGGAATAAGTGACTATAGGAATGATAGTGCTGAGTGAGTAAAGGAGTAAGAGAGTGAAGGAGTGAAAGGGTGAATGACCGGGTGAGTGAGTGAGTAAGTGAGTGAGGGAGTGAGTGAGTAAGTTACGGAGTGTGAGTGAATGCTTGAGCGAGCAAGTGTATGAGTGAGTGATTGCGTGGAGGAGAGAGGGAGTAAGTGAGTGAGTGAGTGAGTTTTCTAGACTTGCCTCTCAACGCCACAAGATGGCATATATACGCATACAAAATAATTTACAGATCATCGAAATCTTTTCTTAAATTCTGGGTAACTTAATCTAGTTATGTTTTTGAGACTGTCAAGCAGTGGGTTGTTGTAATTCATATATATTTTACCGTCGCTCGCGTTCTTTTCAAAACCTGGAATTACCGAAAAAGGGAGACATAATTTGTCAGTACCTTATGATTATTCCGTAGCAGCAAACTGAGAAACCGAAAAGTGAAATGCGATAAATATACAATAAAAAGTCCTGAATGGCTCTTACAAACAAATAAACAAACAATTAATGTACAAACATAAAAAAAAATATTAATGAGGTCCTTGTTCCTTCCTTCGTCTGTAAATTTGCCATTAACGAACAATACAGTTTAACGGCATGTCAGTAGGGGGCGCGCCTTCCCTTATAGACGCCACACAGATGTGTGGATAAATGTTTGTATTTTCCGGCTGGGGAGTTACTTCTCTTTTTGCTGTTGTTGAAAAAATGGTTTTTACCTCCATGAAAAATGGAGGTATTGTTTTTGGCGCGTCTGTGTGTTTGTGTGTGTGTGTCTGTGTGTTTGTGTTTCCGCACAATAACTTTAGAACGCCTTTATAGATTGTGATGATATTTGGTACCTTGGTAGGTCTTAGGAAGATAAAGGCCAAGGTCAAATATGGGCCTCCTGGTGGCCGACCTTGATACTGCAGCAGAACTTCCGAAAGAAATAAGCGGTGTAAGTTTGGTCCCCCTTCAGCTTGTTCTGGAACTGCAGGGGACCTTCGGGCGAAATCTTTAAAAGCCAATAAGTCCAGATAGGAACAACATATTTTCATCATTTTTGGTGTGTTGGTAGCTGAGAGAGAGTTGTACATAATTAAATGCAAATTTTGCAAATGTGGGCTTAATTTGCATAATTAATGAGAAAATTCTATAATTACAGTGTTTTATATAATAGTACTTTCATACGTGCAATGTATGTAATCTATCGCAGATGGAACATCAAAAGATACCAATTATGCAAATGATGACCTAATTTGCATAATAAATGGGAAAATTCTGTGACTTCTTATTTGTGAATGATGGGAATTTTATACCTTGTGACATGTGTAAGCTACCTAAAGGTTAACATCACTATGCCTATATTAATAGGTTATGTTATTGTAGAGGTCATTTGCCTAATTAATGAGGACATGTTGAAAAAAAGTATGACAAAGGAGAGAAATTTTACATTAAAAATATTGTAATTTAAATTTAGAAAACCATAAATTGGACTAGATTGTGCTAATTATGACCTTATTTCCATAGTCAATGAGACAAAAAAAAATTACAAAAACTCATATATATTTAATGGAGGTATGAAATCTCAGAATTCTTGTTGGTCCTGTTTTGGCTGCCTTGCAGAGATCTAAATGTAATACCATGTTCTTATTTTTGGTGGTGTACAGGGAGGGTCAAAAGCCATGCTCTTAGATATATTTTTGGACTAAACGGCAATTTGAATGTTAGGTTACATTGCCAAATGAATTTAAGGTTTGCAATAGTAAGATAACAAAGTAGGTGGTTTTTGACGACTTAGTTCTTAGATTTTGACCATTTATTCTAATGGCGGCTGGTAAAAGTGGGCTGTTGCCAAAACGTTTCCTATTGCAAAAGACGATACAAATGCTCCCCCCTTCGACGGACTTGAAAAATACAAACCTCCGTTCATTTTTCACTACAGTGTGCTTAATGATTATAGAGACAGTATAGTAAAAGTCGCTGTGTGGCGCTGTGTCATCTGTAGTCTAAAATCCTTCTGTCGTTTACACCATGGAAGTGATTTTATGTAATTATACAACAATTTATGGAACGTGTCGCGAACATGCCTTTATTTTCAAATTTAGAATCCAAAAAAAGTTATATTTTGTTTTGTAAAATATAACATTATAACGCAAAAATGGCGTATTAAAGAAGAACTGCTGGCATCATCAGGGACATTCTTTCCGAGAACCACGTTGACACAGAGCGCGGAGTTTAAACTGGCCATGTAGGTAAGGATTGTTCTCATTGAAATGTACAGAATATACGTAACGGAGGTTACACCATCTCGCTTTGTTGTTGTTTTTTTCTACGGAAAGGTTTTACAGTTCTTAGCTGCATCTCTTATGACCAATGGAGCACATGTGAGGACATTTAAAAACTTGACAACTTTCTTTTACCAGGTGAATTCTTTACTGCTACTAAAAGTTACTGAGGTTAAAGTCATTTAAAGCATTTTGTTCAGCATCGGTGGCTACAATAGCAGCGAACACCCTTCCTCCTTCGCTTTAAAACCCAGACGATTTTGTCAAAACGACAATTTCTTGCCTTATATGCTGCTCTATTTAAAATTTACGACCGTCTTACTAGAGCGGAAATCTACGGTAACGGAGGTTACATATTAAGGCCTTAGTCAATGATGTTTATGGATGACATCAGCGCAAGCATTAGTTTCAGTCTCGAAAAAAACAACTAAAACTAGACATTTTGTTGCTCTCTGTTAGTTCTTAAAATACTCATGAAAGTGCTCAAATATTATTTATTTGTGGCTCTGTTTGAAATATGATCGGGCTTATTTCTTTAAAAGTATAGCCGAAGGCACATAATTATTACACATTTGTTTCTGTTCCAGTTTAATCTAAATATAAATCCTAACCAAAGGTCTAATTAGGTGGGACATATGGCAGGACTAAAAATTAAAGGCTTAAAATGGCTTCTGGTTCTTGCATTAAGCATATCAACAAGGAAGGTTCAAACAAAAAAGACACATCGTTTATTCAGTGCTTATCATGGCTTTCTTTATTCCATGTTTCTTAACTTAAAACAACATCTAAAGCACGAAAATACTTCGATAGGCTTTGCAAAAATAACCGCATTTTCTATGCAAAGCATAACGTAAAAGATATCAGGAATTTCACGTTTGGTCTGATATAATACAATGTAGAGGTCAGTAAGAAATGTTTGAGACAACAATTGTACTTTAAAGTAAATTTAGGGAGAAATACTATCGTCAATGTTGTATAATATAATACAACCATGTTTTTTTACAGTCTGTTGACCATTGATAGACCATTGTAATTAAATTTACTTAATTTTGACGAACCTATTTCAAATTCAATCTTTTTTCCGTGAGTCTTTGAATGTATCCGCGATCACGTGTTGATCATGTGACAATCACGTGTTGCTGCTTTTGGCCCCTTTTGGTTGGTGGTGTGACTGTCACCTGGCTATGACGTCATCGGTGACGACAGAGAGGATGCTGGGAGCGCATCAACCCTGGCAGAACTTCCAGAAGGAGTTGCTGCACTTCCCTGAAAAAAAGGGTTAATTTTTATATGTACAAGTTTTAAGTTTATTATATCTGTATAATAGAAAAAAATTCTACTTGTACAAGTTTTCACTAAATAACACACGTACACGATTCAACACGTCAGCAGAACGTACTGTGCTTGCGCGAAGTCTGGATTTTTCACGGTTGGTTGTTGGATGTTTGGTCAATGTTGCATCATAAATTAGCCAGTTGCAAACGATATGTTTCCCGACAAAACAATTTAAGAATACATACAGGATTTTATCAATAAATGTGTAATTTTGGCTTTAAATTCTCTTTAAGAGCCTTGAATTATAGAAGACGGGTTTTGTGAAGGCGCATGCCCAGTACATTTTGCCGACGTGGTGAAAAAATCTGTTCTCGATGATACCACAACGACATTGTTTGTTTGAAATAGGAGTGCTTGTTGACCGGTTATTTGTTAATGCGACACAAACAAACAAACAAACAAAATTTGTCCCATCATGCCAGTGCTCCAATTTTTGCTGACGTCGTTGAGAACTAAACTGACGCATGCGTAGACCTACCTTTCCACCTCTTGGCCGCGCGTTGCACCACGGTCGTCCTCAGGGACTCCCGACTCTCCTCGTCAGTGTCCATGACGTTCTGCGGGTGCCGCGCATGCGCGGGTCTCCCAGGAGAGTTTTCCAGCAGGGTTTTCCACAGGAGCCAATAGGCGGCCTCCTTCACATCCGGGACATCATCGTAGGGCGTAGATATGTCATCATCTAGCTGCAGGAAACGACAAAATGACAAATGTCAGAAAGCCCATCTTACAATGATAAGCGAAAAAAAGAAGATTTTGAAACAATGCTCTTAATAGAAGAAGAAGGTCTCCTTTGCTATTATGCAGAGCGTAGGGTGGTGCCCATATCCATTTCTGTAGCCCTTGGGCGACACACAGTTGTGCAATGCACTACAGCAGGGGGCTGGTCCGCTGGTAGTGTTTGTGTGTTTGACCTTCCCACACTCTTTCTCATATGTGCTGAGTGCTAAGCAGAGAACGAAGTGTACCATTTTTAAAGTCTTTGGTATGTCCAGCCGGGGTTTGAACTCACGACCTCCCGGTTACCAAGCGAGCACTCTACTAATCAATCTATTGCACCGGCTCTTAATAGGCAACAAACAAATACATGGCCGTCTCCGGTAATGATTAAATGAATGGCGATTTCTACTGCACGCTTTTTGCCACATTGGGATGAGTACAGATCAGAAGAAAACATGATGAACAGATACAATATATTAGAATATATCAAATAAAACTAAGTATATTTGTTTAATATACCAATGTAATTGTCCATAACAATAATAATGTTTGTGAATGAATCCAAGCCACACAATGTCAAACCTATTGAATGTAGCTGCAACGTCGAGGCATTTCTTGAAATTGCAATTAATATCAATCAATTCTTACTCATTTACATAATAAAGATATGGTCTTACTATATTCTATTGAGGATTTTAAGTACGGCCGATCCTGTGAATAGACTGAAATATTAAATTATTAGGATCAAATATTTGCCAAAGGCTATCGTCACAAACCAAGTTGACGTATATCTTAGTGAATGCCGAGTACCTGCAGGAAATCGGCATCTTAAAATAGCGAATGTGTGAAACACAAGCTTTGTTGTAACCCACACACCACACCCCCGACCTCACGTGTTTCTGTCATGCCTAACGTAAGAACCTGTCACTGTCAGTTTGAAGACACAAGGAACACCCGCTGAACGTCTTAGTGACCATATGTGGGGATGATATTTTTACAGTATCTATCCCCACCTGAACCATGGTGTTTTCAGTAAAGCCTGATCTCAAAATTAAACGTCAGCACTGTACAAAATCGTGTCTTTGAGCTTATGTTAATATTGAGGTCACAATTCTTACACTTAATACAGCTTAAACGAAAATATAGCAGACACCAAAACACATAGAAATTCTTAATAACGATTATGGGCACTATTTCTGTATATTCTTGATATGGATTGTTAATTTTTGTTCATACAACAAACAACCCGGCCGGGGCCTGGTTTGGAAATGTGACCTAAGTATTAAGCATGCATAAAGGTACCTACGAAGGAAGAAGCGTTTTAAATGCATTTATATTATTCTAGATCCGTTCCCGCAGTACGTGTGTAGATATATTTTGTCTTTATCACCGATTTCGCAACATGTATATATTTCTATTTGCGTGTAAATGTGATAACTGGAAGACTAGCCTAACGAAGATGAAATGTTTTAAAACAAATGCTAGGCTTTAATGAATACGGAAAAATGGATTCTGTGCAGTATCAAAAGTGTCTGTGTTCTCACTGGTAGTTTTGTAGAAGACTTGCCAGTGACACGACAGCTAAAAAATAGCATACTAGTAAAGCAAACTGTCGTTCCACGGGTGAAATGTGTTTGAATATACTGGCAACATATGACCTGAAAACGTGTTGAAGACAGCCATTGTGACTTAAAGTCATTGATGTTAACTGAAGCATGAAGACGACAAGTCCTGCTGTGAACAGGAGCGGGTGTTTGGTTCAGAGTGAACGGTGGGTAGGGGACAGCCCACTAATTCCAGCCCCTATTGGAATATATAGAAAACATCTAAGAACTGAGCTGTCAACAATCACCTACTTGAGTGTTCAACTATTGCAAACACACACTGACAGGGTAGTCCAACTTCCAAATTGTCCATTTAGTCAAAAAATTTCGCTTTTTGACCAGCGAAACATAGCATGGCAAATGCAAACACTGGCAGCATGACCTCTGACCCCCTTGAAGACCAGAAGACAAGAAGATGGGAGTAGTTTTAAGAACTCTACCAAGCAGCCAAAACAACACTAACAGCCAGTTTTTTCAAGTTGATAGAAATAACTCTCCAGCTGGAAAATGACAGCATTTATCCACACATACCAAAAAAAAGGCTGTTTTCAGTTGGTTTGGCTGCACTCAATCAAATCAGACTGGGCCCTCTGGGCATGCGCCAATTGGTGACCTTTGTCCGGTACAGACAGGCCCTGCAGGGTACCGGCTATACCGTCTTTACATGTTTGGTTTCTGTCTGGCTGACTTCCCTTCGAAATCTCATGTTCGGCTGCATTTGAAATCGTGCTTTATCAGAATTTGTCTTTAACCGTAGGGTCGTGTGGCACAGTCGGTAGGTCGCGGGTTCGAATCCTGCCCATGTCACCGATCTTGTGCCCTTGGGAAAGGCACTTTACACAAATTTCCTCACTTCACGTAGGTTGAAATGAGTGCCTAGCTTCGGTTAGGGACTTCCCTCGAATGGAACGTTAAATTGAGGTCCCGCGTTTGGGAGAGCCATACCCACGCACATTAAAGAACTCACCGCACTTGTCGAAAAGAGTAGGTAGGGGTCCTTCCCGGTGTGAGTGATTTAAACCTTACAGTCCGGTCTTACGCAGCTTGTACGTGATTGTACGTACATGTGCAAAACTGGTGTGTTACGCCTAAAGACGGTTTATCGGTCATGCAAAACAAACAAACAAACAAACAAACAAACAAACAAACAAAGCGTACGCTGACACCGTCCCCATTGAAATGTAAGTAGGGACACCAACAATTCGGTCAGTACAGCTTACATCATTAAATAAAATTTAGAGTTAACATGATCTACTACTGGTATTCCAGACATGGTAGAGCTCACAAGGGTATGGACCATATGTTCCAATCGATCAATCTATTAATCTGGAAGTAGTATTAAGCCTTGTTCATGTGAAGTCACCCAAACCGCGATTCGGGTAACTCGCATTCCTCACATCTGGTCCACGTGCCACACATTCCTTTGAAACCGTGTCCGATTACAATTTGCCTGAGCTGCATTTATTGTTCTTTGATGAAAACACACTGGGTAGCGTGTTATTAATGTCAGGGGTCAACGACCTTCTTGCTGATGCCCCCCTCCCAGCGTACCTCGGCCGAATGCCGACGTGGTCCCGCCAGAGGCGGTGAAGCTCGCCCTAGAACGGACACATTATTTTACCATTACTACTCTTTAAGTTGCTGCCACGTAAAATTTGGTATTGCATATAAATAAAGAAATATCACCCCGTAATCCATGACCAGGCGAAGTTATATTGAAATCACATTGCGTTCAGACGCAAATCGCGATGCGGGAAAACCGATTCGAAACCACTTCTAGAAGTGGCTTTGGATCGAGGCGCTTTCAATGTCATTTAAAGCGTTCAGATGGAGCCACTTGAAACAGGATTCTGGGTAAACCACATGTAAAGCGCCTTGGGTGACTTCACATGAACACGGCCATAGACTAGCGTGAATTTTCAATTATTGTTAATGTGAACCAGGTGGCATTCAAGTTACCCAGATAATAAAAGTGATTTTATTACGTCGCTGATGATCATTGCCCAGGGGTCACTGAAAGATTATGCATTGGCGTCAGTTCGTATGTGAGGGGCTTTTCATGGATCAAACTGGGATAGAAGGAGCAAGGACGAGTCGTCTAACCTTTGGCGGTAATCTCGTCACTTTTAAGCACACCTGAGCCGAATGTCTCGGCGCGGAATCGTGCACTACATTTCCTGTTATACAGACGTCATTTATAAGTGTAGCCGTTCCAAAAAGTCCTTCGACAGAAACTATTGGAGTTTTATTCTCATGTTTTGTTTTAATAAATTTAGAAAAGCAAAAACGTTAAAATTTGTGGCCAGATTCTCAAAGGGACCTGTAATTTTCTATGTGCATGCAGCGAGACTGCAAGACCCGATGGAATTTTACATGGCCCTCTTTCTTTCGGATAAAGATTCTAAAAGTAACAATATAGATTCTTTTTTTCCGACTGAAAAAACAAACAAACAATGCAAACCATTGGAAACATATAGTTCCTAAACGCTTCGAGGAGAAATCAAGGATTCCTGAATGCACAGTCTTAAAGAGATGACCCGGATTGCTGACCTTTGACCTGTATTCTTATTCCCGAATGTACACCACTGGGAGATGACCCAGATGACTGACCTTTGACCTATATGTCGTTTACCAATGATGTACTGGTTCCAAATATAAATTGCAAGCCACGGAGAATGAAAACAAAGTCGTTACTTGATTCCACTGACATTACCTTGTTTAGTGACCTTAACTTTTCGGTCAGACCCTGCAGCATATGCGTGAGAATAGTGCTGCAAGATAAATAATACGCCGTTAACAGTTCAAGAGATCTGATTTACCAGAGTAACCTCAGGCGTGGGTTTGAATCAAATGTCAGAGCTGATATAAAGGTTAAAACAATTATCTGGTTGACCAATGATGAAACCCAGAGATTACAGGGTATCAGGCACGTGGGTTCCAAGGAAGGGACATGCGCACATTACTGGTAAACAGGAGATACACCCTGTCAACTTGGAGTGAAGAAGTATGGCAATGACCAAGGTGAGGAGTTAAATGAATAAATAAATACATAGGATCAGTAGAACTTCTGACAAGCAGATTTGTGACTACATCCAAAATATAATCATGGGGAAAATAAAATTAAAGAATTCGAATTACGTAAATGGTTTATGTGTGTGGGTTCTTTAACGTGCGTGGGGTGTGGCTCTCCCAAACACGGGACCTTAATTTGACGTCCCAGCCAAGGTAAGGTATTCATTTACACCTGATTGAAGTGAGGAAAGTCGTGTAAAGTGCATTTCCTAATGACCGGTGACATCGGACAGGTTTAAATCTCCAGACCTCTAGGGTGTGAGCCGAACACTCTACTCGCCACACGACCC